AGCCTCCAAGATCGGGACGAGGGTGCCACAGAGTGCCCCGTCTCTGAGAGAGTAGTCCGGTCTCAGAGGAATAGGCCAAGGAGGTGCTGTCGCGAGGAGCATGAGTTCGGAGAACCACGTCTTGGTGGGCCAGTAGGGGGCTACCAGCAAGACCTGCTCCTCGTCCTCCTTGATCTTGCACAACACCCGTGCAAGGAGGCTCACTGGGGGAACGCACACTTGCGTGGGCCCCGTGGCCAGCTGTGCGCCAGCACATCCGAGCCGAGAGCCGCGGGTCAGAGAATAAACTGGGCGCAGTGGGACGAGTCCCGAGAGGCGAACAGGTCTATCTGTGCCTCCCCGAACTGGTCCCAAATCAGCTGGACCGACTGGGGATGGAGTCGCCATTCGCAGGAGATGGGACGGGCCCGGGACAGCTCGACGGCTGCCCGGTTCCGGTCTCCAGGAATGTAACTGCACGAAGGGACCTCAGGTGCTTCTGACTCCATATCAAGAGGTGGCGGGCGAGCTGCGACAACCGGCACGAGCGTAGACCCCCTCTGGTGGTTGATGTACGCTACTGCCGTAGTGTTGTCTGAGCGGACAAGCACATGCTGGCCCTTGAGCACGCTCGGAAGCGGTGCCGGGCGAGCCGTACTGCCAACAGCTCGAGGCAATTGATGTGCATGAGGCGCTGGGCTCCTGTCCAGGAACCGGCGGCTGCATGCCCATTGCACATGGCACCCCAACCCGTGGTAGACGCATCCGTGGAGACAACGAGATGCCTGGAAACTCGCTGAATAGGGACCCTGTCCGTAAAAAGCTGAGGTTCGACCACGGGAAGAAGGTTCGGCGGCACGTCGGAGTCACTGGAACTCGGAGCGAGCCGCGATGCCATGCCCACCTCGGGACTCGATCGCGAAGCCACAGCTGAAGCGGTCTCATATGAAGCAAACTGAGCGGCGTACCGCGGATGCCATATGCCCCAGGAGCCTCTGAAATAGTTTCAGTGGAACCGCACTCTTGCCCTCGAACTGTCGAAGACAAGCCAGCAGTGAGTGCGCGCGCTCGTTCGTGAGCTGCACGGACATGGCGACCGAGTCTATCTCCATGCCGAGAAAAGAGATCCTGTGCACGGGGCAAAGTTTGCTCTTTTCCCGGTTGACCCGAAGGCCCAGACGGGCTAGGTGCCGTAGCACCAGGTCTCTGTGTTCGCAAACCTGAGCTCGAGAGTGTGCTAGTATCAGCCAGTCGTCGAGATAGTTCAGGATGCGAACCCCGTGTTCGCAAAAGGGAACAAGGGCTGCCTCGACGATCTTCGTGAAGACGCGAGGGGACAGAGCTAACCCGAATGGGAGAACGGCGTACTGGTATGCCTGGCCCTCGAAGGCAAACCGAAGAAACGGTCTGTGTCGAGGGAGAAAGGAGACATGGAAGTACGCGTCCTTCAGGTCGATCGCTGCAAACCAATCCTGATACCGAACACATTCGAAAATGCGTTTGGCCGTGAGCATTTTGAACGGTAGTCGATGGAGAGAACGGTTCAAAATGCGCAGGTCCAGGATCGGTCGTAACCCACCGGTCTTTTTTGGGGACAATGAAGTAGGGGCTGTAAGCCCGGACCTCACCTCGGCTGGAGGGACCGTCTCGATTGCACCCTTCGCCAGCAGGGTCGCAATCTCCGCTCTCAAGACTGGGGCATTGCCACCAACCATCGTGGAGCGAACTCCCCTGAAGCGGGGAAGAGACCGTGCGAACTGAATCGCATAGCCGAATCTGATCGTTCTGATGACCCAGTGGGATACCCGGGAAGCGCTAGCTAGGCTTCCAGGAAGTGAGCCAACGGGGTCATGCGAACCACAGACGTCCCCCCGGAGGGGCAGCGAGGCGGGTCGACCGGCATGCGTGCAGGAGTTACCCCGTCCGGATGCACCGTCGAAACCCGCTCCCCGACAGAAGAGACCAGGGAAGGCAGAGCGTTCCACGGGGGTCTGTTCTGCCGGGGGTCTGGCGACAGAGGGGGAAGGGATTGGCGTAGCCCGGGGACGACACACGCACCCTTCCGCGCCCTCCGAGACAGAGAGGAATGAACGGGGCGACGCACTGGACGTCGTGCGCGCTCATTCCAGTCTGTGTGCTCAATGACAGTGTCAGCTTCCCTCAACCAGCTCAGGGAGCTAGCTAGAACAAAAGATTCTCCACCGGCCCTCCACCGGGGAAGGAGGGGCCCTGCCACCGCCTCCTGAGAAAAACCATGACACTATCACTGAGCGGCCCGCCTCAGGAACATCGCTTCGCCTGGCGTCTAGCGGGGCACGCGGCCTGAGGGGGGGCTCTTTCCTTGGGACGCTTACCTGTGGCCTCCTCTGCGACGCGAACCGGCTGAAGGCTGCTGCTGGGGCCGCGTGGGAGGGAAGGGAGCCGCAGGGGGGCGTCCTCGGCGGCGAGCTGGCGGAGGCGTCCGAGCCGACGGCTGGTTGGAGGCAGCAGCTGGCCGTCGGGGCAGAGAAACCGCCTTCGTCTGCTCCTAGGCGGTCGAGAAGTGCTGGGCAAAGTCCTGGACCGCACCGCCGAACATTATGATGCTCCTGGACCACAGCGGTGGGCATCACCTGACCAAGGGAGCGAGCGACCGCCTCCGTGACCCGTTTAAGGACAAGGTAGGCGGCAGGCTCGCAGCTCGCTTGGTCCGTCACCTCCTCGTGCACATTCCTGAGCAGCTAGCTTTGTAGGTGCTCATCATATGCAGGGCGGAGGCTGCCTGTCCCGCCGCTCTACAGAATCGCGCCGCCATAGACGACGAGAACCCATAGGCTTTGGAGGGGCATCTGAGAGCAACCGCCGGTTAACCGGGGGAGCCCCAGCGTACCCACAGACAGCCGCATCGCCGAGGGGAGGAAGGGCGGGGAACTAAGCACGCCTTTTTTTTTTTTTACTTTTTTTTTTTTTTTTTTTTTTTTTTTAGTGCGTGTCAGTTCCGCATGCAACTCGGGGAAAAAAGGAAATTGGGGTTGGCCGTGGCCGTAAGGCGGCAGCGTTACCCAAAAACCAATTATTCAGCCGCGAGAGATCGGGATGGGGCGGAGTTCCACCCCCACCCGATGCTCACGGACGCCCGAGATAGCACGGCCATCATCGCGGGATCAGACACGGCGGCGCTGACGCTCCCGAGGGAGGCAACGCGGCCGCATCCTCACTTCCCGAGGAGTCAAGCCCGCCTAGTGATGCTGTGATCGACATCGCATCATCATCTGGAGCGCTGCCCGAAGCAGCCGGTGCCACCGAAGAAGCAACCGACTGAATCGAACTAACGCTCGCTGGCTCTCGCACTGAGGCGGGAGGTGTGGCCCGAGGAATCGTCGGGGCTTTATCCCACACCATCACCGTAAAATCACCAGGTCCCCGGGTCGACGGGCCCCCTATGGAGGAAACCGATCGAGCGGGGGGGACCGGGACTCTCACTCAAGTGAGATCATTGAGTCTCGACCTCAGTGTAGAGATGGTCGTCATCCACGAACGCTGCTGCTGCATGCTGAAATGCCCAGGCATACAAAGCAGCGATCGTGACCATCAGATGACGACAGAAATCAACCACACCCAGAAGAACACGGGCGAACCGTCTTTAAAAAGACGTGCGCGTGCAGCTCTTTCAATGAGAGGAGGAAATTCACTCTTTCAGCGCTGAAGCGACCAGGGAGAAGCGCAAAGTCTGGCAGACCACTGCTCAGATCGCAGGCGATGCAGAATCTCGCTGGGTACCGCCGTCACACCAACACTGAAGAGGACGCTCGTCTCGAAGAGTCTTGAATTAGCTTTTAGGAGTGAAGAGGTTCTCTTGGCTCCGAAGCGAAAACATACTGCGGTTGCGTTCACTTCCTCCTTTTATACTCACGGAGTAGGGCGGAGTACGCTATGCAAATTTCCGCAGCCCCAAGGCATTGCATGCCATTGGCTCGTGTTTAAATACTCGAAGAGGATTGGCTTTCTATGCGAAATCCCCCAATCTCCGTCACTTCTGACGTAACTCGAAGTGACTACGAAAGGGAACTACCTGCATCCACAGGGGCCCGGTCAACTCTCCTGGACTACACCAACATCACCAGAACCAACACTGGACTGGACTGAACCTTCAGGGGAAACTTGCGTGTCTCTCCTCCGCTGATCTCTCTGTTTCTCACTCTTTTTTCAAAGCACTCCAGACTCACTCTTTTCAAACCAGACTCAATCTGGTTTCCTACAACTCAGGTACCTCATAGTTTGCATCACACTTCAGAACTGATCACTGAGACACTGCCACACATCTTGAGCGGCTGCCATGCCTCTACAGTAGTGTATATCGCACGCCACAGAATACTGGATCTTATAGTGAAGGACATATCAAGCCATTTCTCATCTGCCTTAAAAATGTATAAACATCCTTGTGTAAAATCATCTGTTTCAGAATTATAATGTCTCTGAAACCTTTTCTCATGTGCTTGCAAATACACCAGATATTGTTGTGGTTAATGAAGACATCAGCGAGGTGTTTGTTGTTGAGTTTGCATGTACCTTTGATTATGGTATGGAAGAAGGCTTTGTGACTAAGATGATTAAATATCAACCACTCCTAAACATCATCTCAGAGTTTGGTTATCAGAGCCGACGTCTTGTGCTCATATTCGTGTAAGTGTGTGTGTAATGTATGTGAGTGAGTGTAAGTCTGTGTGTATGTATGTGAGTGTAACTGTAATTGTGTGTGTGTTTACAGGAACTAGAGGGACATCTACTGGTTATTTCAGGAGAACATCCTGAAGCTGAGAGAGAATAAGTCCGGCTGTACGCATCACTTCCTGTCGTGATGTTCCCATCAGAACATTCAAAATCTCTGTTATCACTTCAGGAATGAAGTTGTTTCAGGAGTAAAGCGTAAAGACTATTACACCCAATAAACAAACTTTTATAAAATCATCATCATCATATGACCTCTTTAACTGGTGTTGAACTCACATTTACTGTACTAAAGTCAAAATGGCAGGACAAAATATTTCTTCATAATTTATTGTCAATTTTAAATCATAGTACATTCACAATCCTCCCAAAATAATGCACATATTTAATAATAATAATAATAAAACAAAAACACAAGGAAATAAAGCCATCTATATGTACAAATCCCTGTAGTTTTGTGTAACAGTGATGGGGGTGTACGATGCGGTCCGTCCCACTTCCAGTTGTCATGCCAACAGAACAAACAAAACCAATTTATTAATAAAAATTCAAAAAAATGAATGTGCGAAAAAGCCACATTGTAGATGATCATGCACTCTGTCTCTCCGCGTGCAGCTCGGCGACGCCTCTATTGTGTCATTTTGGGCATCATGGGTAAATCTCGGCTGAGAATGAGGTATTCATCTGCATAAAACACAGGAAGTGACACGAAACCGCGAGAAACGCATCATCATATGTTCCTGCGATGAAGCCGATGTGCGTCTGCGAACTCGCTCGGGTGTTGGTGTGTGCGTCTCCCAGTCACAGCTGATGGTGTGTGTGCTGGTGATGGTGGAGTCCAGTCCAGAAACTGTTCAGTGGATCTCAATGTGAACCTAAAAGGGGACAGAGATCTATGAGAACTCGACACACTGAGAGATGGGCCGGAACACACTCCTCTCCAGTTACAGGATACGGGAAGAAGAACAAGGACTAACCTGATCCGCTAGACTCTAGAGATAGATCAAATAAACACAGATCTGGATTTTATACAAATCGTACTTTTTAAACAGCGAGTCTAAAATTGAAGTTGATCAATTAATGGTCATAAAAACAACTTGGTCTGAATCACTAATGAACCACAGACAGACAGATATATAGACAGATAGATAGACTGGCAGACAGATTGATAGACAGACAGATAGACATATAAATAGATAGACAGATATACAGACAGACATATAGATAGACAGACAGATAGGTAGACAGATAGATAGATAGATAGACCAGCAGATAGACAGGCAGGGAGATAGATAGACATAAAGATAGACAGACAGGCAGACAATAACAAATAGATAAACAGACAGATATACGGAGAGACAGGCAGATATACAGGCAGATAGACAGGCAGACAGACAGACAGACAGACAGTTAGATAGACAGACAGACAGACAGTTGATAGATAGATAGATAGATAGATAGATAGATAGATAGATAGATAGATAGATAGACAGACATACAGGCAGAGACAGATAGACAGACAGACAGATAGACAGACAGTTGATAGATAGATAGACAGACAGACAGACAGATAGATACACAGACAGACAGGCAGACAGACAGACAGGCAGGCAGACAGACAGATAGACAGACAGACACAGATAGAGAGACAGATAGATAGACAGACAGTTAGATAGATAGACACAGACAGACAGACAGACAGATAGATAGATAGATAGATAGACAGACAGATAGACATATAAATAGATAGACAGACAGACAGATAGACAGACTAGCAGATACACAGGCAGAGAGATAGATAGACATACAGACACAGATAGAGAGACACACATATAGACAGACAGATATCTGTCTGTCTATATGTGTCTGTCTCTCTAGATAGACAGATAGACGGATAGACAGACAGACAGATAGATAGACAGTTAGATACACAGACAGATAGACAGTTGGATAGACAGACAGTTAGTTAGATATATAGATAGATAGACAGACAGACAGACAGTTAGATAGATACAGACAGACAGACAGATAGATAGACAGACAGATAGACATATAAATAGATAGACAGACAGACAGACAGATAGACAGACCAGCAGATAAACAGGCAGAGAGATAGATATATAGATAGATAGATAGATAGATAGATAGATAGATAGATAGATAGATAGATAGATAGATAGATAGATAGATAGATAGATAGATAGACAGACAGACTCGCACCTGTAGTCGCACGTTGAACATCATGGAGGCGATGACATAGAGGTAAGGGAATCTGAGTCTGAGTCTCCAGGCGAGATCGAAGAAGATGAGCAGAGTCCGACTGAGCCCTTTAGAGAACAGCCCGTACGAGCCCGACACACGCAGCACCAGATGCGCCAGAGCCGCCATAAGAGGACGCTTCCCTGCTGACGCCCCTCACACGCGACACATGATGAGCGAGCGTGCGTTACAGCGAGCGTCTGACAGTCCTCATCTCACATCAGTTGAAATCATCATCACCATCATCCTACACCTTGCTGTTACTCTCAATCTATGCTCAAGATGCGCTCGCGACCGGATGTTGTCAACTTCTACTTCCTGTAAACGTCATGCAGTGTAATCGTAGTTTAGTTCCCTAACATTAATGATAAATAAAATAATATCTTTACCCTCATGGCCTTTTTATATTTAATTGTATTATCTCCTCTTATTTTTACTTTGTTATTTTTGTTTTAATAGCAAATGTTTTTGTTTTATCCCGTAAGTTCAGATGTCATTGAACATGTTATGTGTTTATAAAAAACTGTATATCATTAATGTCTCTGTACAGTTGAAAACATATTACTACTACTACTACTACTACTACTACTAACAATAAAGATTATTGTTAAATAAAATAAAAATAAATCAAATTAAATATAAAAACGTTATTGTTAAATAATTAAGCCATCTTGCTGAAAAATAATAAATTAATCAAGAGATTTAAAATAAAGCATAACTGTGTGAATCCCTGAGTACACAGTCCTAAAGCTGATTAAAAAGTGTCTTAATAAATGTGTATCATTCTGAACACTGTTAGATAGATAGATAGATAGATAGATAGATAGATAGATAGATAGATAGATAGATAGATAGATAGATAGATAGGTTTTAGCTGTTGGACTTTTATTCTGGAGGGAACCGAGCGGAAGTGCGCTTGTAAATCTGCAGGAGTCACTTCCTGTCTTGGGTGGTGGCTTCAAACTTTCTTACTCGACTTCATTCCTGTGTGTGGGAATGAGAGGAGGAAGAAAACTTAATCTACAAAAGCGTCTTAATCCCCAGTCGCAATAAGTGTTGTTTGAACAGCGTCGTTTATTTGACCGATCTTGTGTAATTTCGCGTGGAGGGAGAGTAAATATCGAGTTGAAGTCATGCAGGCCATCAAGTGTGTGGTCGTCGGAGACGGGTGAGTTACTTTACTGTCTCGGTACTGACATTTTGTCCCTCTAAAGAGGACTTTACTTACTTATAATGACTTCTACTGAGTCTCCAAGCCTGCTGAACTGCCGCTTTAGACCGCGTTTGTGGCCTCGATGACGCCTGACTCCTGCGTGACGTCACGCGCACGGTTTATTTATTTATTTTTTTATTGAAGAATAAGTCAAAACAAAAATATTAATTAAAAAATTCAAATCAAAACAAGGGAGATGTATAAACAATGATAATATTTTAGAGGGTCCAAATGCTTGTACCATTTCGAATAGCTTTCCTGAAATTTAGCCATTAAAATAAAGAAAGTAGTGCATGTTTGTTTTTGTAGTTTACATATATCCACATAAGAACATCTTTCCACTATAATATTACATTTCCATCAATATTTCCAACAATAAAAGCAAATAAATAATGTTTAAGTAATGTTTATCAGGGTATATTCTGTGAAGGAGTTTTAAAGATACTACTTTCACATTGTTTAAGAGATTTCTTCCAGTCAACATCCCTCACAATCCTGACTCCAATATGCAATTACATTTGGACTCAAAACAACATCATTATTTGATCTGTTATGATTATTACACCAGATTTTCCCTCCAGGGATTTGGTGCGATGATAATCTAATCTTATTGCCGTTTAAACAGAAATCACAGCCAACACAACTGCGAATTCCCTCGGCGGTCTGGAAATATTATAGATTGCCATTAATTCCCTAAAAGTATAAAAAGGTGGCCATCTGGATTATATAATTGGCCCACCAAAACAATAGCCTCTTATTCAGAAACCAATTTTCAAAGAAAGCAGTCTTGTGTAAATCGAATGTCCTTATTCCAATTGAGAAGTATTTAATTGGTGAGGTAAAAAGTTGTTTTGTAAGTTAAACTGAACATGCTAGAAAAGCTTGATGATTAAAGTTTGATAATCTCCAAATATGGAGGAGAATAATATCCCAAACAGAGACTGGATACTTAACAAGTTGTCTAATTGTTTAATGTAGTGATATTCATTAAGACAGTTTTTCTTATTTAATGTAATTAAAATATAATTTCCCTTTTTTCCGAGCAAAATCAACAAGCATCTTATCAATCTCCTGATTTTATGATCAACCCAAAGAGCTTTATAATCATTACACAACACTCCCTCTTAATGACAAGCCTCTTTAAAGACACTGATTAAACTTCCTTTTATTTTTAATTTTTTCGTTAATCGGATTGAACTTCTATTCTGTTGATTTGTATTTACTGTAATGGGTATTACGTCTATCTTGACTTTGTGGAAACACTGATTATTCTTTGACACTTCTTAACATTCAGAAAACTCTTCTAGAAAGCTCTTCGATTTGTTTTAAGAGTGAAATCATGCACAATTTAGAGGGATAAATTCTCACCCTCATGTCGTTTCAAACCCGCTCATCTTTGGATCTGAAATGAAGATGTTTTTGATGAAATCTGAGATTTGTCCCTCCGTCGACGGACTAAGCAATTACTTGACACTTCAAAAAGATCGTAAAAAATGAATCCATATGAATCGAGCGGTTTAGCCTGAATTTTCTGAAGAGACTCGATCACTTTATATGATAACATTGACTTTAGGCAGAACTAAGCATTTGAATATCACCTTACTAAGACATAACTGGCAGATATAGAGTGACGACTATGATCATACTGATTTATAATACAAGCAATCATAAGTTCATCATCAATCTCAGCATCTGCACCAGATTTTATGATCTTGCTCCATATTCTCACTGCATCTTAAACGCTTAAACAATGTTAGACAAAACATAAACGCATATGCAGTTTAAAAAAAAAAATATATATATATATTTTAGATTCTTTATAAAGGTTCAATAAATATTTATACATCAAGCTTTACATAGTTGAAATATTTAATTCAGTAAAGTGTAATTATACAACTAATTAGATATATGAATTTACTCATTTCTAATTTCAATTCCAATAAGGTAAAGATACAAACTTGGATATCATTCACATTTAGTCTTATTCTAAAACATTTAAAGGAGTAGTTCACTTTTGAAAACTTTTGCTGATAATTTACTCACCCCCATGTCATCCAAGAAGTCCACGTCTTTCATTCTTCAGTTGAAAAGAAATTAAGGTTTTTGATGAAAACATTCCAGGATTTTTCTCCATATAATGGACTTCAATGGGAACCAAACGGTTCAAGGTCGAAATGACAGTTTCAGTGCAAACTACAAACTGTTCAAAGGGCTTTAAACGACACCAGACGATGAATCAAGGGAAACGATCGCTCATTTAATAAATAAATAACAAAGTTTTATAAGCTCAAATGCTCGCCTTGCTCTGTTCTGTGATGCGCGTTTGTGACTCTCCTCTTCTCCTTGATCTTATAAAACTTAAACTTTGTTATTTATTTATTAAATGAGCGATCATTTCTCTTGATCAGATGTCTGGAATCGTTTAAAGCCCTTTGAACAGAATTAAGGTTTTTGATGAAAACGTTCCAGGATTTTTCTCCATATAATGGACATCAATGGGAACCAGACGGTCCAAGGTCCAAATGACAGTTTCAGTGCAAACAAAATCAAAATGAACGAATCATTTCCAGAGTCAACTCGTTCATTTCGTTCGTTGAATGAACCAAATGACACAAAAAAAGATTTGTTTATTTTGATGAACGAGTTCGAACAGGAGAGTCACGAACGCTCATCACAGAACAGAGCAAGGTGAGCATTTGAGCTTATAAAACTTAAACTTTGTTATTTATTTATTAAATGAGTGATCGTTTCGCTTGATAAGACCCTTATTCATCGTCTGGAATCGTTTAAAGCCCTTTGAACAGTTTGTAGTTTGCACTGAAACTCTCATTTAGAACTTGAACCGTTTGGTTCCCATTGAAGTCCATTATATGGAGAAAAATCCTGGAATGTTTTCCTCAAAAACCTTAATTTCTTTTCGACTGAAGAAAGAAAGACATGGACATCTTGGATGACATGGGGGAGAGTAAATTATCAGCAAAAATGTTTTTAAAGTGAACTACTCCTTTAATTGCAGTCATTAATTACAAGTATCTGATTCCTGCCCTCGAGTTTTCGATTCCAGGATTGGAATGGATTTTCGATTCCCAACCCTAGTTGGGGTGTGATTTATTTGCATGTAATTATGCATAATTTATAGTTATTACGATGCATGAAACGCACAACAAGGATACATTAAAATAGTGTTTCCAACTATTTTTTTCTTCTAGTTTACATGTTAAAAGATTAATTGCATTGTAAAATGAACTGCATTATCTAATAATTGAGGCATTATGTTTCAATTTAATGTGCACGGCTTTTTTTTATTGTTGCATTTTAAAAAGTTTGCAAAAAAGCTTTCGGTTTTAGGAGGAAGTGAACGGCACAAAATGGGATTTGAGCCCTACAGCGATTTAGTCATATGAGAACGCGTTTGATCCTGATGACTCTGTCCTCAGACTAGTTTTTCAACCTGTTACTGTTAATATCATGTGTCACGATGTTTACTGTCATCGCCTTTACCTGTGTTCTTCCTTATTACAGAGCTGTGGGTAAAACATGTCTGCTGATCAGCTACACCACCAATGCCTTTCCTGGAGAATACATCCCCACAGTGTGAGTGTGTTTGCTCAAATACACACACACACACACAGCTGTATAAACACAGAAATCACTTCATGACTTTTAGATTAGCTTAAAGATTCCTCCAAGAAAAAGTTTCCCTTTTAGGATAGAAAAAACAGTCGGCCTAGAAACAAGGTGCAATGTTACATTATTAATCTAAATATCATATTACTGTAATCTTCAGTCAATATTGGAATAGTTAGCAACAATGTAACCTGTCCTCGCCCTCCTTCCTTTTTTACATTCAGTCTTTGTGTCTCTGGTCCCTTGTTCAGCCAAGCAACGCTGCTGTTGTTATTGTTTTTCTTACTTTGATGAGTATTATATTAATATAGTAATATTATATTATTCTTAGATTCCTGTACTTCTAACCATATATTAGAGCTGCATGATTCTGGTTAAAATTGAGCATCACGATTTTTTGTTTTGTTTAAAACCGAGATTACAATTCTCCCACTATTCTGAACCGACGTCTAAATAACAAAATAACATGCCGTTTACTAGAGGTTCTGACACAATTTTACTTTCTGCGGTCTGTTTAAAAAAACAACAACATATAATTCATTTGAACAATTTAAAAACGTCTCTGGAATGAGTGAGTCAGTAGGTGTTTCTCAATGTCAAGTAGAGTCCGACCGATAAAGGATTTTGAAGGCCGATACCGATACAAATATTTTTGGGTTTTAAAATCCGATATTCCGATATATCGGCCGATATATATATATATTGTTGGATTTCACACACGTGTAAAAGAAAAGCTAACTTTTCTGCACAAGATACGTTTGATACTTTTTCTCTATGTCTAAATGTTCACTCCTCGCAAGTATAACTTACATTTTACAATGCAGGAATTGTAACTAGAGATATGCTAGTTATAAATACAGTAATAATTACTTTATTTAGAAAAAGTTCATTGTGGTTTCCAAGCTCATTAATGTTAACGTTAGCAGTCTTTCAACTGATGATAGTGGCATTAGCTAGCTTTGTGGTTAGCTAGTCTATGATGAGCCATAATTTAGCAATAGATAACATCATACTGCAAATTGTAAAACATACATTTTCAAAATAACAGGCCAAGGAGAGATGATGATTAAAGCGTGTTTCATCCGTTTTTATTTTATTTTTTAAATATTCATTTATCGGCCATTTATAACTGCCGATACCGGTATTATGGAAAATGCCTAATATCGGCCGGCCGATATATCGGTCTGGCTCTAATTCATATAAAAATTAAAAATACTATTTTTGCACATTTCTCATGACAATAAACGCACAATTCTGTAACATTATCAAACTAAAATATAGTACATTAATTCCATTTAAATAAAAAAATAATAATAATTTCTGTAATGCCTAATATCGGCCGCCCGATATATCGGTCTGGCTCTGATGTCAAGGATGCTTCCTTGGCAGGACGGGTCCAAGTCATTTCCTTCAGAGGCTAGCCGAGACTCCTCTTTAGCATTCGGAGAACACGTAAATGGAACAGGCTAGCAAGCGCTTTCGGTGCTGCAATAATAGTAGTGCTATGTTTGGTTGCTGTTTAAACACACTTGACAGTCCTTATTTTGTCTTGTCAGCCCTCATAGAAATAAATAAATAAAGCAAGGGATAATGTGTAGCGAGACGGTTGTTATAGCGAATACAAAACTCTTAACGTGAAGCGGAGGGGTCTTGAATCAGCCTGAAGGGGTTGTATTCTGTAACAACGGCCTTGCTATACATTTTCCCACTTATAACATGGCTACCTACCAAATAAATCAATAATTTGACAGAAAATATTGATTTAAAAAGGATTGTATTAATTTAAAAACGATTATATTATCGAAGTGAACGTAGCACAATCTAACGCTAGCTGTTAAAACACATGAAATGGTAAAATGTGATCAACAAAATAAGCTAACGTGAAATGAAGTAAAAATTAAAGAGTGAGTCGCCAGTAAAAGGGAACAGCTTTAAATCCCCCTTCTGCAAATCAGTTGAGCCGATATCTTTAATAGTTTAACGAGCATTAAATAAATGGCAAAACTGAAATTATGCTTAATAGGGATGCACCGAATATTCGGCCGCCGAAAGACTTTTATCACCGAAATAATACGGGCGAAATGTTGTGATGACGCAAACAGAAACCGCGACCTGCACGTGCTTGTCTGAAGCAACATGTCTGTGGTGTGGACGTATTTCAGTGTATCTGAACCCGCGATGAGACGGAAACCTTGTTTATCTATCTATATCTGCTCTAAACAATGCGCGCCGCCATGACGACGAGTCCGGATGCGAGCGGGTCAAGAGCGGTGCGCGCTCTGTCTGTGGAGACTCTCGCTGCGGAGGCAGGCGAAAGTATAAACAAGGCAGCGCGAGTCTCCACAAACAGCGCGTGCACTGCTCCAAACGGTCGAGGCGTTTATACTTGACGCGCACTCCGTTATACTATTCCTTGAAACGACAGGGGACGACTCAAGTAACTGTCCTCTCTAACCATCAGGAATCGGTGAGAAGAAGACAGATAAATACATGACAATTAATTTTTTTAGTATTCCACCACCAATACAAAAATAATCATGTAAAACTCAGTAAACCCTGAGATTAGTACTTGTGACATTACAAAAAAATATGTATATTTGGGAACATGTATAGAACTAAATTAATTAAATATTTTCTACATTCACTAAACATGTTTCATTAAGTTTCATGTACATTTGTATTAAACATGGACCATTGTTCATTTAAAAAGGCTTTTTATGCTATTGTATGCTACATTTTTAAAATGTAACTAATTTAGACATGCAAACTGGGTGCTAGTGTGATGAGAAGTTTGTGCTCGGCTTTGTTTTTGAGAGAACATTTCATTTTAAAACCTTTCTGCAGGCCAGTAGATTATTATTTAGTGTACACATGAGTGGGGTCAAGTTAAACATTTTAGTTTGAATTTTATTTTATACTGTGCATTGTGCTAAATAAATATTTGCATAATTTGTAATTGATTTATTCTTTGAAAATGTTATATTAATTTATGCAATTGCAATGCCTTGATTTTAGTAAAGTTTGTACACAGTCATATCATAGCCATAAATGCAATTATACTAATAATTGGCATAATTTCTTTCGGTGTTTCGGTTTTCGGTTTTCGGCCTTGGTTTCCTCTTTTTCGGTTTTCGGTTTCGGCCAAGAATTTTCATTTCGGTGCATCCCTAATGCTTAACCTTACATTTGAAAGCATATTGCCGTTATGACTCCGACTCCGCTAACGTCCGACATTTTTTATTTTTTGAACAAGATATCAAAGCTGCGCACAGGATTGTGGGTGATTTGAGAGCGCGGAGGCTACACATATGCATCCTTTCCTGTGTATTGGATATTTTCCGAACGAAGGACTCGGTCCTTGATGGAAATTCTGTGGATCCTCGACGTTGGACCAGTCCTTCGACGGATGTCCGAGGATCCTTGACATTGAGAAACGCCTGATGACTCACTCAAATACTTCACTTCATTACTGGATAAATCTGCGTTTTTAAACTAATCTCTTGAATTAATGATTCGATGGTATTTCTTTAAGTCACTCGTCGCCACCTACTGGTGTAATGATGTCATTGATCCAAATCTTCATTTGAAGCGTTTCGTTTTGCTACCGTAGACATCAGTTTTTATATCCAATAACTACTTATTTGGAAATATTAATTATTGTATAACAGAAATAATTATACTGTGTGGTTGAAAAGACTTTATGCTCACACACACACACGACTGTTTAAGCTGTTTCATACCTATACATGGAAACTGCTCTCTGGGTCAGCGGCAGCAAACTTCAATATTGGCTGTGATTGCACTAGTCAAAGCTTTAAGATTGTGATCTTTTAACAGTTAATCATGTGGCTCTAATTTGTTAAATAAACATATTTAATGCTTCATAAATTAATGCTAAAGTCCTCCGAGACCTTTTAAATCACAAGATTTGCTTGTCACAAGAGGCATGAAAATAGTTTTCCATAAGAAATATCCAGTTTAGCGGGCAATATACTGAAATATGTGTAATGAACATTATAGAGTGGCCTTTTATTGTGGGCAGCCTAAGGCACACCTGTGCAATAACCATGCTGTCTAATCAGCATCTTGATACGCCACACCTGTGAGGTGGATGGATCTCAGCAAAGGAGAAGTGCTCACTAACACAGATTTATGAAGAATATTTGAGAGAAATAGGCCTTTTGTGTACATAGAATAGAAAAGTCTTAGATCTTTGAGTTCGGCTCATGGAAAATGGGGGCAAAAACAAAAGTTTTGTGTTCGTAAGTTTGTTCAGTGTAGATGTCTTAGAGCAGCTGTGATTCGACCATTTAAAACGGGGTCTTCCAGAGAGATGTGCAATAAAGTATTTTAATGTGAGCATGTTTGAGTTTTGTAAAGCCTCCTGTCATCTGTGGGTTCTGCATTTGCTTACAGTCAGCTTTTTAACCTGGTGATCATGATAACATCCTAATAATCAGAATTGCATTGCCTTTCAATTGACAGATTTGATAATTATTCTGCGAATGTGATGGTGGACGGGAAGCCAGTGAACCTGGGTCTGTGGGATACAGCAGGACAGGAGGATTACGACAGGCTCCGCCCCCTGTCCTACCCTCAAACGGTACGATCACTCCTCTCACAACTTATACCGTTTTACACAATTGCTTAGACACATTTAAACCACGGGGCTGTTGAATGATTGAATCTGATTGGTTGACTAACTTTCAACGGTGTGCAATTATTTTCAGGGAAACGCACGGCTAAAGTAGCTTGACCGCATTACAGTTTCCATATCACTGCGCGATATGTAGGATAGGATACAATTCATAACAAGAATACACATCCATGCCATTTCCGATGTCTAACTTCACAATCAATGTAAAACATGCAGTATAATTTGAATAAATAAAGTATATAGACCCATTTATAATCAATAGTAAATTAAACTGAATATATAAATAAATTGATACTCCTGCTGCACTGGTTTTTGTAGAAACTATACCAAATAAATAATTATTGATAGGCTTATACTTGTTAAAAGTGCTTTGTGTTTCTTTTATTAGACTAGTCTATCGTCAATTATATACAAAAAAGAATGAACGAATTACAACGAATTTAATAAATAATATTGACGCCAATGTCTCCTCTCTCTCATAACTGCATTAATAACTGCATAAAGCCGGGGAAACACTTACTGTAAGGCCAGTTATGAATGTAATTTGATACTTATGACTGATCATGCCCAAACACGTGTTCAGCGCATTCAGTCTGTGTTTTAATAACAAAAACTTGACAAACATCTTGAAATACTCAATCTGAACAATGTTTCAAGGTGTGGTTACTGTAGTACTCCGGGCCGTTGAATTATTAGAAAAATAAAGCACACATCTGCTGACAATTATTCATTACTTCTTGAAACCTTCACCCATTTCTCACAACATTAAACACAAATCCAAAACTCTCCAAACCATTGACTCTTCTGGCAAAGTCAAACAATTTCTTCAAAACCATTTTATTTGTTTAAAATCAAATATGCTTTCAGATCATACAGAGATAAGTCAATAAAACAAGCACTACAGACAAAACTAGCACTTGAAAAAATACAATATATTAAAAAATACTGCAAAAGCCAATAAGGTCAAATTTATTATTAAAAAAAGGTAAATCTAAATTTGCAGTTGTTTAACTTTGGCCCCGCTTGTGTTCAGTGCTTTGAAATATAAATCAATGTGTTTAGAGTGTGTGTCAGTGTTTCATTGTAGTCTCGAGTTTCTTCCAGGAACACGTCACAATATTTCTCATTATAATAGTTCATATGCAGAATAAAGGGGCGGGGCCTCGTTCAGTTAGTTAGTCTGTTGAAACTGGCGGTTATGGTAAGGGGTGGGGCATTTCCCAAACACACTCGACCAATCACAACACACTGCTCCAGCCGACCAATCAGAGGAGGGGATTCATTGAGACAGGAACTAAACAGAGCGTTAAGGCCCTGATATACTTGCAACGAAGTTTTGGTTCATCTTGGAAATACCAAGATGGCTGTGGATGAACACCAGTTGGCTTTGGCCGCTACAATGAACGAGTTAGACTTGGCTTTGTCTCTAAATCTTTGTCCACTTAAATTAACAGTAATGGAAAGATATAATCAAGACGGTGTTTTATGATTGATGATGACTAAATTTCCAGTTACATTAACTTTATATCGGTAATGTATGCAACCACACATTTTTTAATGATTAACTAATAGCATTTTGCATTCATGTTTCATCTCCTGTGTGTTCTTTTAATATTGTCATACGTTTCTTCGAGTGCTCATGGTCACTTCAATGCAACGGCGCTTCTTGTCAAATGTCAGTGTCTTGCACGATTCTGGCTGTAATGCATACCACATAAAGCACGTGCATAATAGTTTAATGCTCTTTAAATACTCAATGAACACATCTTCATTGGTACATCCCCAATGCTTTTGTCCCACAGGACGTGTTCCTCATCTGCTTCTCCCTTGTGAGTCCTGCCTCTTTCGAGAACGTCCGTGCAAAGGTGAGTGCTGTCTCCTTCAAAGTACGAGGTAAAATGGCAAGCCGTTTTAACTTTTATTCATTTCCAGGAGATGAATTCTTGATATCAACAATTCAATTGCTGATATTTGTAATTGTATTTTCACTTGTTGAAATGTTTTCAAAATCAATTGTTGATATCAAGAATAGATTTTTTTACTAGTAGAAATATCATTTTTGATATGATCAAATATTTGATCTTGATATTATATCACTAATTACATTGTTACTATTAAAAATGTGAATTCCTGATATCAATAATTAAATTGTTACTAGTTGAAATGTCTATTCTTGATATCAACAATTCAATTGGTACTAGTAAAAAAATTCATTTTTGATATCTGAAAATGTATTTCTGATATCAATATTATTTCAGATATCTAAAATGGCTTTCTTACTAGTAACAATCACATTCATGATATCAGAATTTAACATTGTCACTAGTGAAAATTGAATTATTGATATCAAAAATTAGCATTGTTATTAGTAGCTATTCAATTGTTGATATCAAGAATAGACATTTCAACTAGTAACAATTGAATTCTTGATATCAAAAATAAAGGTTTTTACTAGTAATAATTGTATTTCTGATATGTGAAATTGGTATTTCAACTAGTAAGAAATTAATTCTTGATATTAACAATTGGTTTTGAATAGCTGTAAGTGAAAATACAGTTACAGATATCAGCAATTATAATTTTTACTAGTTCAAATTCAATTGTTGATATCAAGAATTATCATTTTAACTAGTGGAAATGTAATTCCTGTTATCAAAAATTTCCATTGTTACTAGAAGAAATCTAGTTCCTGATATCAATGACTATTATTTTAACTAGTGAAAATATAATTGTTTATCAAGAATTCATATCCTGGAAATGATTAAAAGTTAAAACGGCTTGCCATACTAGCAGACATTGTTACCAGTGTTGGATGTTGTGATGGATGTGGAATGCCATGTGTGTTCAGTGGTATCCAGAAGTGAGACACCACTGTCCAGCCACGCCGATCATCCTGGTGGGAACCAAGCTTGATCTGAGAGACGATAAGGACACCATCGAGAAGCTGAAGGAGAAGAAGCTCACTCCCATCACGTATCCTCAGGGCCTGGCCATGGCCAAAGAGATCGGTAGGTGCTTAAACACGCCGCCAAAACACTTCTTTAGTGGTGCACTTCACCTTACAGGTGCTGTGTGTCATTTGTTTTCTGGACTAAAGCATACAAACACCAGATACATGCTGAGTTCACACTAGGGCACGATACTGAACAAAAATTTGATATGCGATGACTCATTAGATAATGTGATATTTGATATGCTTAAGTTACATATACACAGCAAAATCCCCAGTGTTAAATTAACACTTTAAAGTGGGAATTATATCAACTCTGAGCAGAGTGTTAAATGAACACTGAAGCATTGTTAAAGTTAATGAGATAATTAAGTGAATAATTGAGTGATTGAGCATTATTGAAGACACCTGATGATAACAAGCAGAATCTCTAAAGGAGAAAACCGTAATTTTAAGTCACCATTATGGTGATCAGTGTTTGCTTTAGTCGGGCTCTTGACCCTTAAATCTTTAACTTTAGATTTTGTTTGGCTATTTTTGTTTGTTATAACAGCCACATGAACAAATAGAAAAGGTGATCTGATGGTGATGGTTGTGTTTTAACAATCATTAATTCATCTGAATCGCTGAACTCATCAAGAGCATAAATTCTGAGTTAAATTTATCTTATGGATTTTAGCAGCACGGTCATTTTAGAACACACAATTTTTAGCCTTTTCAATGAAATCCACACGATAAAATAAAAAAAAAATTACAAAAATATTTTATGTAGGCTCACACAGACATCAAGAATTGGCGTATAAATCTCAGCAATGGTGACAAACAGATCACCTCTGAACATAAGCTCATTATTTATTCATGTAGCAATGCAAGATTGGAGGTATGAATGAGTTTTGATTGGTGGCACCCAGAATGCACTGCCACATGCTTTATAATTGTCACCATTGTTGAGATTCACAGGCTAATTAAGATTAGGCGCACCTTCAATGAATGACCTATTTTCGAACATTTTTCGTATATAGGGCGCACTGGATTATAAGGTGCATAAGATACTGCAGTCACACGTTTGACTGGGTTTGTGTTATGCATCCACTAGAGGTGGTGCTAAAGGGAATGTAGCGATTGCGCAACGCCGGAGGTAAGGCGTTTTTTTAGTAAGCATGAGCCCACTGGGGCGGGCACGTAACTTACATTCGCAGCCTGACTCATATGAGTATTTAATGTGCGCGTCTCGCTGACAGCAACAGCTGGCTGATTTGAATGGGACGACCCGGTTACTGTGAATGGGGAGCGCTTTATGAACATTATGTGACGCGCGAGCAGCGCCGGGGACAGTGTGTCTGACACATATAACCTGATTTATACGAGGTTGAACTGGCCGTGTAACAGAGCGGGCATAAGATGGACACGAGCGCGTGTTCGCGGGCGAATTTAATAACGCGGAGCATTGTTATCCAATTAATCAATTGATCCATATATGAGGCGCTCCGGATTATAAGGCTGACTGTCGTTTTTTGAGAAATTAAAGGCTTTTAAGTGCACCTTATAGTGCGGAAAATACGGTAAATTGTATAAGTGAAACTTTTAAGACAATTTTGTTAAATGTTAAAAATTTGATGCTGTACAAGGTCACTGCTGCTATAATTAATAAAGTAAACCTAAGCCTAATAATAAAGTAAATAATAATAAAACCCAATAAAGTAAACCTAAACCTCAGAAATTAGGCTCTTTGAAGATGTTTGTCCTGAATCCGTGCTCTTGTGTGTGTGTGTGTTAGGGGCGGTGAAGTACCTGGAGTGCTCGGCGCTCACACAGCGCGGGCTGAAGACGGTGTTCGACGAGGCCATCCGGGCCGTGCTGTGCCCCCCGCCGGTCAAGAAGAGGGGCAGGAAATGCTCACTTCTCTAGAGACTGATGCCACCCAAACTATGTTTCTGAAGGAGAAATGAGATCCGGCTTTCATCGATCAATTTTTCCTCCATTGTAATCACCAGTTCAACTTTACACACTTCACAAAACATGTAGTAAAACATCCCGTCTCCCTTAGACAAACACGTGCTATTGGACGAGCTGCGGCCTTTGACTAACGGATATTAACTCTTTTTTTTCTTAAGACGGTTAACAGTGTCCTGAAGTTGGTTCCTTCCATTGAGAACCCATAATGTTTGTTTACAGTCTTTGTTTGAGAGAGAAATGAAGATCTTGCCAAATAGCACTACATTAGCATACACCACATTTCTTGCTTTTTAACCGCTAAAGGGCTGCAACCATTTGGCTAACCACTGTGAAGCCAGGGATATTGAGTGAAAGAGTTATCGGTGAATCGTGAGGATCAGTTAATGGAGGATGAGGCGACAGATTTTTATATATCTTCATTATGGGGTTATGTGCACACTATTTGCCATTTGTTTTGGGGGGTATTATGTAATTCAAGGCACGAAAACACGCCGCATCACGTCACTTCCGGATCCTAGAAATCATGTTTTGCATAAAGAAAATGAAGCTTGTATTTTAGGACCATTTTCATCACAATATACGGTCATTTTAAAGTTCATTTTTAATTAAAGTACAACCAATATTACCAATGGTTGGTGAATAATTTAAATAATATATTTTTCTATTAAAGTAACTAGTTTTTTTTATTATATGAGGACTTTGATTGTGGAAAATGGGCTTAATTGAAACCATAAATATGTACAGTGATCCTAAAACTAGGCTTCATTTTGTTTACTCAAAGTATATTTTCCATACTTTCTTTCACGTATTTTGCGTCTGAAATATCTAATTTAGTGTCAATCTCAATATATATATATAAATCGTAAATCAACACCATTTAAAAATTCACCTTCTACAGCCACACATAAACAAATTTTTAGAAACGTTTTTCTTTTTGACACTTTTATATGTGCTAATGTTACAGAAATCAACAGACTACTGTCAGATCGTACACTACAGTCATTGGTTCATGTGTAGTCGGTTTATACTGTACTAAGACGTAACTGTGTGTCTCATTGGTCGGAACAGCATGTCGTGTGCATCATGGTATTGTGACGTGAACACTTGAATGAGGAGCACAGGTACAGAGCGTGCGACCTCTATCGGCACACTTAGATCCAGATCGTAACCCTGTTTTTAGGGGTATTGATGATGTCACTTGTTTTACAGTTAATAAAATGCAATAAATTTAGATCAAACCCTAGAAAGCTGTTTTGTTTTAATTATACCACTGTACAAAAAAGATTAGTTGACTCAACTTAACCAAGTCAAGTCATCTTGTTGCTTTGACTGAGTTAAGTTGAGTCAACTTATCTTTTTTTACAGTGCATCGGTCCTTGAAAGTTTGTGAATCAGAAAAAAAACAGGTCCTTGAAAGTTCTTGAATTTATCGTTTTTGCAAGAAGTTTTCTGTTAAATATTCCATATTATTCTCTCCGGACGGTCCGCTAATGTGACAGTTTGCCCCGCCCTCCCCCCAGAAAACATTATCAGAGATGTCACTGCAAGAGGAAGTTATTCTGATAAAATACTACGAGGGACATGCATTATATATATATATATATATATATATATATATATATATATATACAGGGCCTGAAGTTAATTTTTTCGGCCACCGGCCACTGTGGCAGGTGGATTTAAAAATTCACCTGCCACAGAGACTTTTTACCAGCCTTTTTTTTTTTTTTGCCTCATAAACGTAAAAAAAAAAAAAAAAAAAAACCCGGGAATTTCACAATATTGTTCTTTAACTTGTAAGAACACACATTTAAGTGCTGTCAAGTAATAATAACTCTAATAACATACATTTAAAAAAAAAATCTTTTTATTCATTGATTTTGACAGACACACACACACACACACACACACACACACACAAATAGTATATACTCAACAGATAGACCTACCGCAGCTCGTAAACAAATCACACGCGGCTGTGTTGATGGCGGATTTAGTCACGTACAGGTCTTACTCTTAACAGCTTTTAGTTACAGCGTTCAGGAACGGTTAAATATCAACTAAATACTGTTATTACTGATAAAATTACCGGGTACCGGACGTTTTCTCACCGGTTCCCAACTCCCAACATGCACAGTTGCACACGCACACACATCTGTGCAACTGTCATTGTACTGTAACCTACAACAGCGACGCATTACATTATCTCATGATCATCCCATCTCATCAACAGTTTAATACTCGCACACGTAGTCAGAAAAAGAGCCTCATCTTCTTTCTGATCGCATGAACGTTACGAAACAACAGTCGCTGTCATAAATCAGCCGCTCACGAACCTTGCCATTGCCGCCGATTGTTCACTTTGTATTAAAATGTCTTCTTTACTTTTCTTTTTCTCATCCTCATCTTTTCGTTGGCTGTTTGTTGCAGCTGGCCTCTTTACCCCAGTAATGTGCCGCCACATTTTAGCTAAAGTCCACCGCAATAGCGGACTTCGTTGAAATGTAAAAATCCTAATGAAACACTCAATTCTCATTGGCTGCCTGCCAATGTGGCAGGTAGATTGACAGTGTTACCCGCCAATAGCAAAATTCACCCGCATTTGGCAGGTGGTCGGGTGTTTTTTCAGGCCCTGTACATATATGTAAGAATTATCGATTACGTTAGTGGAACCAAAGCCCGGCTGGTGGAACTTAATCAATATGGATTGAAATAAAATATAATATTAATTTGTAATTATAACGTCTACTGTACGTCGTTTTCTAAAAATGTCTCACTGTTGAGAACAGTTATTTGTTTCCCCTCATATAGCTGCTATATACTCGCCGAGAAGAGTGCAAAACTGTCTGTCACATGTCCGTGGACCGTGCTGAAGTGACAGGTTTGTTCTCGAGAATATATTGAAACGTTACTGTTGTAACTCGAGTTCGCATGTGTGTATCACAGAGAGTTCATCACAACAGCTGACTGAGACTCTTCCTCGTTGGTTTTATGATGAATGAGCGCTTCTGGTGCCCTCTGGTGGACTGTTTCAAACACAACACGCTCACGTTTATAATTATTGTTCTAATAGTATAATATCCTAAAATATATATTTTTGAGAAGAAACCTGTTTCGATCATAGGCTGTAAAACTTTCTCTAGTTATGTTGCTACTGCGAGTTTGTATGCGGTTTGCCCACCGCCTGTTTAAATTTACCGGAAGTGATGAAGGCGATGACGTGTGATATACTTTACTGTTGCTTTTTAATAATAAAACAATATATTTCAAATAGTGTATCCCAAAAGGGTGACTTGTCTAACATTTTCTTTCGATTTGTGTTTCAATAATCTTATTATCGAGTACTTAAAATATGATTTTGAACATCTGTTGTTCCATTGGCTGGTTGACGCGTGTGTTGCACCACGGGAAATTGTTCTCAAGTAAATAAAACAATACATTTTTGTTATTTCTACTGCTGTTAAAAGCTCGATAAACAGCTAAACTTTGATAGAAACGCGCGGAAACATGAATCATCATCTGATACCGTTGACTTGTATGGAGCGACGTGTCCCTCACCGTCACCGAGACGCGTGTTTACTGAAGTCCCTATCCCTCAGACTCTGTATTCACTCATACTTACCTGGCAGGGGAGATATCATGGTCATGATGGTGATTCTCCCAAGGCGAGACTTGGCCATTGCACATTTCGGCTTTGTTGACCCTTGCGAATTCCCCACATGTGGGAATCTCGACTGCAGAATTTGTGATAGCGGGGACTGCGTTCGCGCTCTCCCCAAATTAACTGGTCAAAAGAAGATATATTATATTGATAACATAATTTACCCTATAGGACTGAATTCTAAGGTTTTAAGTATATAAATTAATTAATAGTGAGACGTTAAATGCGAATTGACTGCCGACCTTGAGTCGATAGTTTATACGCCCCTATTGTGCCAGATGCGCCCAGGAGATGGAGAAGCAGGATATATGGCGAAATAACATAAAACGACGCTGGAAACACATTTATAGGCCTTATTCAGAGCAGCGCCATGTCAGGTATGAAAGTGAGGCTGTGAGGGATAGACTTACTGTGTTTCCAATAGGCATCAGCTGTAAAAAGATGAATAAAGCGGCTAGATTACTTACAATTTTCCACAGCTTACATTGTCGGGAGTTTTTTGTCAACTGACATTTCTTGAAATGATATTTTTTTCCAGTGTTTCATGAGCTGAACAATCCAAAAAACACATTAAATAACAGTACAGCCCATTGAAGAGATGCAAGTCTATCCCTCACAGCCTCGCTTTCATTCTCATTAAAAATCAAGGCGTATAACCGTCCCAACTTTTACTAATTTTCGGGTATTTGTTTATTTAAATAAACGTTATAGACAGTGGAGTTATCTGTGCTGACTGAGGATTAAAACATCCAGATGTTCAGTTGGGCTTCACTCTTCACTCAGCCAGATTTGTTTTTGTAAATTAAAAAAAAAAAAAAATACACACAGTTGGATCAGATGGACAAAGTAATGATATTTGACCTACTGTATAGAATCAATTGTTTGTAAACTGTTTTATATACAGGAAACTGACTGATATGTTGTTGTGAATTTATTTAAAGTTACATTTAGGTATTAACCATATTTAGCCATTTAGACATACAGTAGGTACTGTGTAATCAAATGGATCCTTAATGAAATATCTGCTCTACTATTCACAACTGGTCATCATACAGCTACAGAACAGTGTCCTACATTAATGAAGACAAACACAATTTAACCCTTTTCTAAAATTCCAAGGGCCATTTAAAAGAAAGAGACAATATTTTTGTTTACAAAAAGGTTATTTATTTACACCATGCATGACTCCTGTAGGTTGACTCCTAAGGCTTGCCACTCATTTTTTTATCCTCATGCCAAAGTGCTTCCACTCACTGATTAAAAATAAATAAAAAAGAAGCTAAAGTTGAATAGTGGTAGAAACACTGGTTATAAAATAATGGCAGGATGTCATGGTTGAGCATTTTTGGGTGTTCAAAAGATGGGTGTTTATATAAAAGTTTAGAGATAGAGATTTTAATTTTCTTAAGTGGCTAAGGCAAACACACACCTTAAAGAGCATATTGCAGGTAAAAAAAAAAAAGAAGAAATTTATAGATAACCTTGTATGAAAATACCATATGAAAAGTTAATGCAGGATTTAAAATGTTTTAAAACAACATAAGGGCACTAATTTAGAAGATAAAGTGAGCGTTTCTTGGACTGCTAGTAAAAACGGCTTTTTTTTCCAACATCGCGTCATTTGACGTAATATCAGGGAGCTGCAGCCTCGGCTCAGTGGAGAGTAGGCTGGTGTTCAGCGAGAGCGCTCGTCAGTCAGTGTGCTTTCGTTAGTTTTTGCATTTTAATTTATCATCGTCATGGTAAATTATTGTGTTCCCTTTCGTAGTCACTTCGAGTTACGTCAGAAGTGACGGAGATTGGGGGTTTCGCATAGAAAGCCAATCCTCTTCGAGTATTTAAAAACGAGCCAATGACATGCAATGCATTGGGGCTGCGGAAATTTGCATAGCGTACTCCGCCCTACTCCGTGAGTATAAAAGGAGGAAGTGAACGCAACCGCAGTATGTTTTCGCTTCGGAGCCAAGAGACTTCTTCACTCCTGAAAGCCATTCTCACTGTTCAAGACCCTTCGAGACGAGCGTCCTCTTCAGTGTTGGTGTGACGGCGGTACCCAGCGAGACTCTGCATTGCCTGCGATCTGAGCAGTGGTCTGCCAGACTTTGCGCTTCTCCCTGGTCGCCTCAGCGCTGAAAGAGTGAATTTCCTCCTCTCTAAGTGAAAGAGCTGCACGCGGCACGTCTTTTTAAAGACGACTCGCCCGTGTTCTTCTGGGTGCGTTCGTCTCATGTCATTTTCTGATGGTCGCGATTGCTGCTCTGTGTGTGCCTGGGCTTCAGCATGCAGAGCAGCGTTCGCGGATGTCTCATGTTCCTTCTAAAGGGGAACATGAGCATCTCTACACTGTGATCGAGACTCAATGATCTGATAGTGAGAGTCCCCGTGTCCGTTACTCGTTTTGCTTCTTAAAATAGAAGCTCTTTGACTCGCGGATAGGGTGATATGACGGTGAATGTGTGACAAAAAACCCCGACGTTAGTTCCTCGGGTCACACCCACCGCTCCAGTGTTAAAGCCAGTGAGCGCTGTATCGCTTCAGACGTCTGCCTCTCTGAGGTACCGTCTGTTTCGTTCAGCGCTCCA